TTTAATAATTAATAACTGAAAACATTTGAACTTGTTCTATCTTCTAGGTTCTTTCTTGAAAAGGCAATAGAGGCATCTTCTTCATTTGCAAAGGACAAAAGTGCAACACTTCTCAGAGAGGTATGCGTGCATTCCTTCCTTCTTTTATTACAATATTAGTAAATTAACTCTGTTGTGGGCAATTAATTTTCTTGTTAAATTTATGTTGGAAAACACCATTGGCAGATCCTTCACCCTTGGAAATCTTCAGGCTTGGTAGAGGTTTCCCTCTGTGGTAATTAATTTTCATCTTTCATTGCAAATTTAAGGTGAAGGCTAAGATTGCGGCTCATACAGACTGTGGCTGTGCCCAGTTGATTGACAAGGTTTTTCAGGTAACATCTAGTGATCAGTAGAATATTTAAGTACATGTTGGCTCAAATGCAAGTTAGAACACTGAGGTATTGCATAAACTTCCAAAGAATCCTTAGGGTATACTCACCGTATACCTCACCACAAGTTTTTCCTGCCTCTCCCACCCTGAACAATAATGATGAAATGTAAATGTTGAAACCCTTTTTACAAGTACTTATAAAATAGTTAAATCATTAAAATCTCTCATTTAATTAGAAATCTTATCACCAACTCCTACCAGAAAAACTCCAGAATGCTTATTAATAGATAGATTATAATAATAGGCCAGTTTTGATATATTAAAATTCTAACTTGGTTCTGAGATTTTGGGGAATAAACAAGAGAATTTAATTAATTCATCATTCAACTCTATATGATTTCTTTTGTTTTATTCCCCTTAAAGCGTGGGAGCCAAGTCAGAATTTTAATATATCAAAATTGGCCTATCAGTAGATATGTAATTAATGCTGTTGTATTATTTTAATTAATCCCTATTTTTTTTGTGGTTGTTTTGAATTTCCTCAGCTGCTGTACACTTCTGTTATGGCTAGTGAACAAGCAATGTCAGACCAAGAACAATGTGACACAAAAACTCAGGTGATTGTTTTGCATGGTTTTCTAACAGTTCTATATCATTAACATCATTGTTCGTAAACAGTGAGATCAGTGAAGGTGTCATCTTTTGTTCTTCATGACTGGACATCAACATTACCTTGGGTATTTGGAAAAGTGAAGTTCAGTGTGTTATGAGACAGAATAGCCAAAAATGTTTTTGAATATTGTGTCACCCATGTGAGTTGATGTCAGATTTTTATCTTATGTCTACCTGCGTTGCATATCCCTTACCATTTTTTAAAACAATACTATATCTGTTTGTGCATAGCAATGCCTTTTAGGAATTTATGTATTTGAATGCATCAAATTATTATTTTTTTTGCTTTGTATGCTGTGTCCCTTAAATCAACTATTTTGTTTGTCTTTTTAGGAAAGAAAGCAACAAGAAAATGATGTTACTACATTTGTATCTAATACAACAGATTTTGAACAGAAGTGGTTTGGTGATTTACTGTCCTACATGGCTGGAAATTAACACCAAATTCCATAATGAATGGTTATTTATCCAGTCTTATTTAACTGGACTTGTCAATAAACTCAGAGTTGAGAATAAACAATTTTTAATATTTATTCAACAATAAAGATATTCAATATTTTCAATAAAATGCAATATTTCTTCAGCTGTTGTTTTGAAGCCTGGCGTATCAAATTCCAGACTAAAAAAATATGTTAGTCTGGCCAGTTATCAATTCACTTACTTATTTGTTATGATTATTATCACTCAATTTCCTCCCCTAATAAGGCAGTGATAAGAACATAATTAGGCTAAAACCAGCTTTACCATTTCAAAATGGAATGAGTCTTTGTGAGTCCAAAAACCATGAACACTTTGATTTGATTCTGACAGATCAATTGTGTACTGATCAATCACAATAAAGTTAAGGACACGCGAGCAAACCTCAAAACCACAAACTAAATTACCTGTTTTGTTTGCGGTTTAGTTTTGTCACGCCTAATTGGCTTTTTCCTTGCTCATGGTTTTCTGACTTTCACAGAACGAGACAGTAACTGGCCATGAGGTCATGGTGTCATTTGCTTCAAACACTGGCAGAGCTGTATAATGCCATGCTCCCAGTGGTTTCCTTTCCCATCTTCTGCTGGAGTGAAAAAGCTACCATGATCATTGGCGGTCTTTTGGTGGAGAAAAGAGAATAGAAACCTCTGGAACAAGAGCAAAAACTGACATCTTTTTTTTATTCGTTCTTCTTTTTTTAATTTAAGAGGCTATTTTTTGATCATTTTCGCCTTCCCCAAGGTCTCCAGTCCTTATGTCTAAAGTGATGACAGCTTTTATCAGGGTTGACATCCCAAAGACATGGAGTGTACGGAAATCAACTCAACCATTCCAAAGCAAATTGTAAGAAAGATACCATTTTCCAAACATTGTTTAGCTGTTTAAATGTCCAACAAGTTAACAAAAATATTTTTTTTTCACCAGCTGTTATTTTCACGTATTAACTTATACCTTGCTTTGGCCTCTAAAATTTTGCGTCAAATTTTTCAGAGCTAGTATCGTATAAGCGAATTCCAAACTAATCCTTGCATGTGAGACATGTGAACCAAACTGTTCCAATTCAATTCCGTTTTTCGTTAACGTCATTCTGCTCGTAATTCGTGCCTATATTTCTTAATGTGTACATTTAACGGTCTTGTAAATGGCGTACAAAGCGCTTTGCAGGTCAACTGCTGTCCAATTTTTTTCGCCCGCGATGCAAAGGAGATATGATGGCCGGGCGAAGTTTCGTGCCAATTTTCCATGGTTGTAGATCAATTCATTCGCTTAGAAGAACCTTTAGACGTGCTTTACAAAAGAGACTTTTCAGTAATGGCGCGATACCTCCGCTTAACGAACCTCTTCCTAACATGCCCGCTCCTGCACCGGACATGGTTTGTGGAGCGGACTGGCAGAACCGGCATGATCACGTAACACACGTTACAACTCTTGATAATGGAATCAAAGTAGCTTCAGAAGACTCATTTGGACAGTTCTCCACAGTTGGTGGTAAGTTGTGGATAAGTTTGGTCAGAATTGATATAGATTACATCTGAGGTACCGTACAATTTTAATTTCCGTGGTGATGACACCACACGTGCTAAATAAAGTTAGAACCTCTAAAAAAAGTCAGACTCATCACGAGGGAGGGGAATACCCAGGCAGGTGGGGTGCAGTGAATGTACTTTCCCAGGTTTTCTTTGCATCTAGTCAAAAATTCTTCATGAAAATTGGGAAAAAAATTGAAATTAAATAAAATAGGTCTGCAATGCGTAAATGTGTGGCTTACAGGTTATTCCAGTTGTGTGAGTTCAATGACAACTTCCCGTAAAGGGTTGAGACTTGCTGCTTTCTCTTCTTTCAGCTTCACATATTTGTACCCAGAAACACAAAGTTAGCCCAACTGTGTGTAGAAAAGTTAAAAAAAATTATAAAAAAACTAGGTGAACTCTGGTTTTAAACTCAGCTCCAATTGGTTGGAAAGTAAAGAAACGTACCATTGTGCAACCATGTGGAGGAAGAGAGGCTTACAGGCTTGAGCTTGGCAGACAAACGTAAAATACTATTGTTGATGCTGACATAGTGTGGCTTTGAGCAACACAGAAATCCTTTCCTTGAGAAGGCTTTTTCCCATAAAGTAATGATGAATTGAAACCCTGGTCAGACCTGGCATTTTGGCCTTTTGTGATAGGAGGGTGAGGGATTATTCTTGCTATCTCTCTGCAACTCCAAGCTACAACTGAATTATATACTTGGAGTTACATCAAGAATAGTATCCTCAGAGGTCATTATCAAGTGCTGATGATGCAATGTGATATAGATATTACATCATCATTTCTACACAGCTACCATGCTAGATCAACTTTCCTGGTATTCTTTATTGTGGTATAATGTCAGCAAACCACCAAAACGAACCCTAAATTAATCAAAACCAACTAAAAGGTCCTAAAATATTCTACAGAAAAGTAAAAAAAAACTGTCACAAAAAAAAACAACAACAACAACAATAATTTTATTCATACAAAGAAAAGGTGAACTTAACAATGTAATAGAATACAAACAATAAAATAGAGGAAAAAATCACATAATCCACAGTTAGCTGATAGGGCTTTTAGTGAGGTAATTCCATAAAATCTCCATACCCCTACCATGGAAGTTCATAATGAACTTGGAAATTCCGTAGAGGGGATGGGGGATCTCAAATGCCAAACTTTTTAAATGCAGTAATTTATTGGAACCTAAGGATTTCCAGGGGGATGGGAGGGTTCAAACCAAAAAAATCTTCTATGGGCAGAGGAAATATTTTTTAGGAAATATTTTTTAGGACAAGACATAATATTTATAGACAATTTTTCATTGTGTTTGTAGTGGTAATTGATGCAGGCTCTAGGTATGAAGTTGACTACCCTTCAGGTTTATCACACTTACTGGAGAAACTAGCTTTCCAGGTACCTTTTCCAATTGCAATGTGTTTCTGTCCGTTTTTAAGATCTTTATGGTACATTTTTGTACTAATGCATACTGCATACCTTTCCATCCTGAAGACCCTGAAACTTTCTCTTTACCATTTCAGAGTACAGTTGAATTTCAAAGCAATGATGATATCATGCAGGAGCTTGAAAAATTCGGAGGCATGGCAGATTGTTCATCATTTAGGTATAGTGTGTTGAATTCTGTGTAATTTTTGGTTTAGACCATATCACCCCAGTGTTGGAAGTTATAGCCTACCTCTTGCCTAAGTGTGTAACAATTTTGGGGGTCTAAGATCACTCAACAAAAGGGTGAGTACATCTAGATTAAGTTTTACGTATACCTGTTATATAAATATATCTACCGGTAATATAAATTATTTCATGTTGTGGTAGGTGTCTTGAAACTAAAACTTACAATAATGGTAACGCTTTAACTTAGTGGTCGATAACCATTGTCAAAAAGTGTTGTTAATAACTTAAAATCCAATTTTCAAAATGTAAAATTTATATTAAAAAACTTCAGTCTTTTCCCAACAGAGATGCCATTATTTATGGAACATCTTGCTTTACAAGTGGCCTGCCCACGGTGATGAAGGTGTTGTCTCAGGCTGTTTTTCAGCCCCAGCTTACAGACCAAGAGGTATTGTTATTTAGTGACTTCAATATAATTTGGACTGTTGAGCAGCTGGTTCCATTCAGGAATTCATGAAGAAAGTTTCCAAATTTATCATGTACCGGTAACCAAAATTTTGATTCTGGGTGTCTTTAAAAGACATGTTGCAAGTGTATTGTGTAAACTAGCAACCTTGCTCCATAATAAATAACTAAAAAATCTTTTTTAACATTAACGACTAACAATAACTTGAGAACACAATCAGAGTATACTTCATGAGGCCCTGGTTATTTAGATGGTGGCAAAGCCTGGTGGGTAGGAGGTTGCATTTGTAATCGGTAGGTCCCAGACTCAAATCCTGCCCCCTACCATTAGATGGATTTCTCTTCAGAGTCCCAAATTCAACTCCCCCATATCATGTAAAATTAAAATAGCCAACTGGACAGCCTCCAACCAATTGGAATCTTGGCAAGTTTTTACAATATTTGAATCTCTCTTTATAGCGTCCCCAATCAGCACAGCTCCATTTAATACCATGAGACTTAATTAAAGTGATATCCTGTACTGTCAATGGCTTAAAAATAATATTGATTACATTTTTTTCCATCTTATATCAAAAATACATCCATTTAATGTTTATTCTTCAGATTGAAGAGCAAAAAATGGTAGTCCAATTTGAACTTGAGAACTTGGAAATGAGGCCTGATCCAGAACCTGTCCTTACAGACTTAATACATGCAGTAAGTTTTTATTAGCAATTCCCTGGGATATGTTAAGCTGGTTATATTGTAAAATAATCAGTTAATTTTAAGAATTCATTTTGCACCAGCTATGCCAAGAAGACATCATCTCTTTATTTTGCTTAGTCAGTCTATCTTCATAGTGTTCTATGTCTCAGTATGCATAGCCTCACTTGCCATGCTGCTAATAAATTCTATTACATTTAAATTATTAAAGTATCTATCTATCCATCTCCTGTCCATCCATCTATTTTTCTGAGAAGCTAAATTTCTATGATAAAGCACATGCAAAGAATCTAGCCTTTTGCAGGCTCTTGGTAGTTGGGGATGAGGAAATAAAAAGAGGGCGATTGAGAAAAAATGAGTCCTCCCTTGTTTTTTCTTGATTGCCCTCTTTTTTTTGCTCATCCCCAGCTATCCTATATATTAGTTAAAAGAAAAAGAGATTATTACTAAGAGAGACTGAATAAAGCTGGTGCTTCAACAGGAAATGTTTCATGGTTTTTAGGAATCCCTAAAGTGCTGGATAATCCACTACATAACAGTGATCAGAGGATTTCTGGGATTATTCATTTCATTTCTCTGTGTTTTTTTTGTGCAGGCAGCTTTTCGGGACAACACCGTTGGCTTACCCAAGTTGTGTCCACCAGAAAACATAGGAAAGTTTAATTCGACAATTTTGCAAGACTACATGAAGAGATACTATCAGCCTTCCAGAATAGTTATAGCTGGAGTCAATGTGGACCACCAACATCTGGCAGACCTGACAAATGACTACTTTGTTAACAAACCACCCATGTGGCAAAGAGAAGGAGAGGCAACGGAGAGTCCGGATAGATCTATAGCGCAGTACACTGGAGGCATTGTTAAGGTATTTTGGAATACTCCAGGCCATTTGTGATGATTTTTTCCGATGGTTTAGGGTCACGTCAGTGCACTTAGTTCTGGATCAAGCATTCTTGGTTCAAGCTGTGGCTTGGGTCATTGTGGTATGTTCTTGATCTAGACACTGCTCCAAAAGTGCCTCTCCCCACCCAGGTTATAAGCTGTTATACAGACTTTCACTTTTACCCTCCAGTACTTCCTGGGGAGAGAGTGGCAGACTCCTTCAAAAGCATCGTGGAAGGAGGCTAAGTGTGTAATGTCTGCATACTGGTAGTTCAAGTTGTATTTTTAGCTGCATGTTTCGTACTGTAAACTTACTGTACATTTATGCTGCTTGTCTAGTGCTGTGAACTCATTAAATCTTCATAGCAGGTGAAAGGGTTCATATCGTAACATAACTCTCTCTACCCCT